ATGCCTATAATATTCCAGATAAAACAGTTTTAATAAATAAGATACAAGATTGTAATATTTTTAGTAAGTTTGATTTAAAATCTGATTTTTGGCAAGTAAAAATGTACCTAGATTCAATAAAATGGACAGCCTTCACTAGCCCAGAAGGACATTTTGAATGGTTAGTTATGCCATTTGGATTAAAAAATGTCCCTAGTATTTTTCAAAAAAAAATGGATAGTATTTTTAGTAAGCATAATAAATTTATTATAGTTTATATAGATGATATTTTAGTATTTAGTAAAAATAGGAGAGAACATAGAGGTCATTTACAGATTCTCTTTTCAGAATTTATTAGACATGGTTTAATTATAAATAAAAAGAAAATATTTTTATTTAAAGAATATATAGAATTTTTAGGAGTAAATATAGGAAAAGGAAAAATAGAGTTACAACCTCATATAGCTCAAAAAGCTTTAGATTTTTCAGATAAACTTGAAGACCTTAAGCAGTTACAAAAATTTTTAGGATTAGTTAATTATGCTAGACCCTTTATTAAAGATTTAGGAAAAATTGCAGGATCCTTATATGGGAAAACTTCACCAAAAGGTCAAAGATATTTTAATATAGAAAATATTAAATTAGTCCAAAAAATAAAAGAGAAATTAAAAGACTTACCTAAATTATCTATGCCATTAGAAACAGATTATTTAATTATAGAAACAGATGAAAGTATAACAGGATGGGGAACAATTTTAATTGCAAAACCCAATAAATATGCAGATAAGGATAGTGAAAAAATTGTAAGATATAATAGTAGAAACTATAAAAAAAAAGGTAATATAAGTAGCATAGATTTAGAATTACTTGCAGTTAATTATGCATTAAATTCTTTTGAATTATTTATTATTTCTAAAATAAACCAACCCAAGAAGTAGAAAATATAATAAATAAGTTAGATAGATTAAGTTTAAAAAATACAGGTAAAGAAAAAATAACTAGAAAATTATCTACAACATTTTATAAAATATGAATAATTTTCCTTACAGATCAAGAACTATTAGAGAAGTAGGATCATCTTCAGAACCATATGATAGAGGTAGACATAGTACTTCTAATATAAGTACAAATATAATAGAAAGAATTTTACATAGACAGCCTCAATATAATCAGAATATAGAAGAACTTATAGATCCTGAACAAGATTATAATAGATTTCAAACTCATGGTCTACAATTACTTAGTCCAGAAAATTTATATAATTGGGAAATTTTTGAATCAAGAACCCAATTTTTTAAACATACTAGAGAAGTATCAATTCAATATTTAGATGGTCAAGTAAGACAATTATCATTAATATCAGAAGAATCTAAAAAAGAATTAAGAAAAAAGAATTTTAGATTTATGCATCTAGGATTAATAGTAATAGGGATTAAAGGATTAATGAGAAAAAATTTAGGAAATAAAGTTTTATTAACTATTTATGATGAAAGAATTCAAAATATAGAAAAAAGTATGATAGTCTCAAAACTAATTCTTGCTGGTTTTAAGATATCTTGGTAACTATAAAAATTCCCATCCATTTGTTGGGTTTCTATAGGTTCCTTTGACTTTATTATATATTTTTCTGGTATGATTCTTTTATTAATTACACAATGACTACATCCTGAATCTATTAAACCTAAACAAATTATTTCAAAATTTTCTTTATATATATATATATTATGAGCATATGGTTAAAAATTTAATACATTTTTTAAATATATTTTTTAAATTGATATCTTAGAATGTAATTTTCTTGTCACTGCATATTTTGTGATGTCATCATCTTCTTCAATTCGTATTCTCACCATGTCATGTCCCTCTCTCATATATTTAGCTTCTATCTTAGTTTTATCTTTCATCTCTCTTCATTGGAATGAACAAAGTTTGATTTAGTCGAGTTTTTACCTATTATCTAATCAAATCATATACAATGGTTTGAAATTTTTCAAACCACACAGAAACAAATCAAACCATTTTTTACGATTCGATTTGATTTTCAAACCACTACTTAGCGACTTAAAAATATATATTTCAAACAAGATCAAATAGAAATATTTGTTTAAAATCTCAATACAATGCATCAAATGTAACATTCTCAACGTAGATGTTACTGTACATTATTATTAATATAAGCTCTATTATAAAAATAACACGTAACTTATTTGATTTTGCTAAAAATTATATTTTTACTATATTTTAATAAATGTCGGTGAAATATGTAGTTAGATTTTTGTAAATTTTGATAAAAGTTGATAAAATATATAGTTAAAAATCAGATAAAAGTTGTGAATCATATAAAATATGTGGTTAAAATTGAATTTGGGAAAAAATCAATTTTAATAAAATGGAGACTGAAGAAACAAAATTTTACTCATAGCAATAACAAAATTCAACTACGTTAATACAATATAATCTATATTTACTCACTAATAGCCCAAATCCTAAGTACCAATTTCTTTAAATTAAGTGGATGTATATTTTTATTCTGTATAACTGATATTGTTAAATTTCAAACGATCTTTACGTGTCGAAATCTAAATCAAACAATATCTCAGCAATTTGATCCTATTCAAATTGAGTTTTCATCAAGTCCACGTGAATCCTAACCAATGATTTCAAATCAACAATTTGACTTGATTTTACAGTTTGACAAATTTTTCGTTCAACCCTATCTCTTCATGTCCTTTGTGTCATTGCATCCCTATTTTTATCTTTGCATCTCTTTCCTTGCTCTACAACTCCTCGAATTTACAATTATGGCCCCGTTTGGGAGTAATTTTGAGAATTGATTTTGTGATCGTTAGGAGAAAAGTGGGGATCACCTCTGAGAGAAGAAGTCAAACTTTACGACTGAAATAATGAAATAACGATCAAAAAATTAAATTTTTTGGGTGAAAAATCCCTCCCAAACAAGTTCTATATGTTTAATGCCATCAAGCACCTTGCGGCAAGAATTGTGTGGTGATATATATATATATATATAATATTTCATAATTGATGCTATATACAAAATTGCACCTATGAAAATCTGAGTCCAATAACAAAGCTTGAGCACGAGCATAACTTCCAAAACTTGTAACAAAGGTATCGAGATATGTCGTCGTCGTCCCTTCGATGATTAAGGTGGTGAAAAGGAAAAATATATGTTTAAGGCTATGAACTATAATGTAAAAATATATCTGAATATTTAACAAAGACCTTGTATTTATAGAATAAGGAATACAGCTCTAATAGGATTAGGTCACCCAACGTTTTATTTACTCAAGAGTCTTGAAGAACGTAAGAGTACTAAGAACGGGTAAACATTGGAGATTTACTAAAAGTGTCGGACTATCATGGTAGGATAACATGAGGACTATAGTTGTTGAATCCTTTTAAGCTAGAGAACCTTGGAAAGGGAGAGACCATTAGGAGGCCAAAATCTTTTAAGGATGTCGGGGCACAAGGCCGACATCATGGATGTGCTAACGTAGTGGACCCCGAAGATGCTAGGATCCAGGGAAGCACCTCAAGGGTGGCTCAAGGTAATTCTTCGTGGCCATGAATGTACTTAGATTGTATTCATCGGCGTCCTTCGTGCATTCATCATCGAGGTTTAAAGATGAGATGTAGGTTGTTCGAGGAGTTCGAAGCCCTCGCATGTGATTCTCAACTCGATCACCACAGTAAAAAAATGTTATATGCAAAATATATTTAAAAAAATTGATAAAAATTACGAATTTCATCAAGTACGTGGTTAAAAACAATTTTAAAGAATGGGGCCAAACATGGATTAAATTAAACTAATATTTGCTTTTACCTATCAATTTGAAAGATAGGGAAAACCTACTATAGCTCTTGGAAAATAATTGATATTTCAGTCAGCTAAACATGTCTTTATGAACGTGATTCCCAAACTAACCACACATTGTCTAGATAATATTGGAATCAATTTAGAATTATATCCCAATTTGATAGAAATCATTTAAAATTTATTTTTAATTATGCATTCTTCAAATAAAATAATTTTATTCGTCAATTTATAACTTTTTCTTCTTTTAATAACACATTCAAAAAATAATAATTCTCGCAAAATTTATACTCAAAAAATTTACATCAAACAAACTCTATCGATAAAACGTGGAAACAAAAATAGACTTTTTAATGTTTGACATTTTTCCATTTTTGTTGAGTTAAGGATGGCGCTAACATAACTTTAATAAATGAGGGACTCATAAATAAAAAGTTCGCGAACACAACGTCGCTGAAAGAGGCCCAGAAAGAAAAAAAGGCTAAAGGCCAAACGCTCCTTCCGCCTTCAACGCGGCATCGAAAATTTAAACTTTTCAGTTTTTGACAAATTTACCCCCATCGTCCTCATTATTTTCCCTACTTTTGTTATACAATCTTGAGTCAGCAGGTGCTACTATTCGATCGAAAATCATCAATTCAACAGAAAAAAATAAGAAAAAAACGGAAACACCTTTGGATTTTCTCTCTCTAACTTTGTTCTTTCCAATCTCGAAATATCAACCAACAATTTTCACACTAATCAGCCGCCAATTTGAGGTCGTTTACTCTCACTCTATATGCTCTCTCTATCTGTATATATGTAAATGTGAATATGGAAATAGTGTAAACGCGGAGTTCCTGGGTTTTTGGGATACATTATTTAATTTAAAATTGTTTGAATATTTTTGGACTCGTATTTGTTAAGTAAGCCTGTAGCGTGAAGTTTCTTTACTTTGAAGATCAT